GGGCTGGATTCAAAGCTGCCACCTTAGGTGTATGTGGCTGGCGCCTTAGCCACTTGAGCCACAGGCGCTGAGCCTATTTTTATTTTTGAGACAGAGTCTCGCTTCGTTACCCTCAGTAGAATGCTGTAGTGTCATAGCTCACAGCAACCTCCAACTCTGGGGCTTAAGCGATTCTCTTGCCTCAACCTCCCAAGTAGCTGGGATTACAGGTGCCCAACACAACCCAGCTATTTTTTTGTTGTAGTTGTCATTACTGTTTGACAGGTCCAGGCTGGATTAGAACCCACCACCCTCGGTATATGGCACTGGCGCCCTACCCACTGAACTATAAGCGCTGCCCTATTTTTTTGAGACAGAATCTCACTATATCACCCTTGGTAGCTGTGGTATCACAGCTCACAGCAACATCAAACTCTTAGGCTTAAGCAATTCTCTCACCTCAGCCTCCAGGGTAGCTGGACTACAGGTGCCAGCCACAATGACCGGCTAGATTTTTGTTGTAGTGATTGTTGTTGTTTGGCAAGCCCAGGCTGGGTTCCAAGCCACCAGCTCCAGTGTATGTGGCTGGCACCCTAGCTGCTGAGCTATAGGTGCCAAGCTCCACACCCCCCACTGCTGTTTCTAGAGGCGGGGTCTGGCTCTTGCTCAGGCTGGTCTCAATCTCCTGAGCTCAAGCAAACCACTGGGCTCAGCGTCCCAGAACGTTAGGATTACAGGTGTGAGCCACCAAGCCCAGCCTTTCCCTTCCTTTTTCTATTCCTCTTTTTTGCTTTCCTTACTGTTCTGTGTCCAAATAAATGTAGGGAGTATGCTAGAATGAACAACTTTTTTTTTTTTTTTTTTTTTAAAGAGACGGGAGTCTCACTTTGTCATCCTTGGTAGAGTGCCATGCTGTCACAGCAACCTTCGACTCCTAGGCTTAGGCAATTCTCTTGCCTCAGCCTCCTGAGTAGCTGGGACTATAGGTGCCCACCACAACTCCTGGATATTTTTTTTGTTGCAGCTTGGCCGGGGCCAGGTTTGAACCCACCACCCTAGGTATGTGGGGCCGGCACCCTACTCACTGAGCCATAGGCACCGCCCAGAACGAACAACTCTTTAAGAAGCCTGGCCTAACCCCTTTTGTTCTTGGTCCCTAACCAGACTGAAGCAAAAAATCTTTCTAAAGAAATGATTAAAAACCTTACTCTTGGTTTTTACAACTGAAACAGCACACCACTCACTGTTGTCATTTCTGTTGGTTTTAATTAAAAATTAAATTTTTAATTTTATTAATTTACAGGTGATGAATTTATTATGTTTTGTTATTTTGATAAAGCAAATGAATCTGGTCAGAAGACATACATATGCACCCATAATAAGCTATTTACCATTACTTACCTGGGCAAGTCAGAGTCAATGCCTCAATTTCTAAAACTGCAAAGTAGCAGCAATCCCCACCTGATTACTATGCAGATCAAATGCATCATACATACACAAAAGTACTGTGTAAAGCGCCATTCAATTGTTACCAATGAAAGCCTGTAAGGAGTTTAAAATGTCTTAAGTAATAGAGCTAACTTTGACTATGGAAAGATCTTAAAGATTAGTAACTTCACCAATCAGCTCTAAAACTGCTAGATTTATCATTTGGTATTACTTCTTCCACTGGGAAAATGTTTTGTGTAATAACTTTGACTTCAACATTCAGTACACTCTACAAACGTGGGAACCATAACATACTATGCTATGCCATCAAAATAATTAATTTCAAAAACAAAAATAACCTCTATCTTATTGCTATAAAAAGTTATCAGGTTCAGCACCCACAGCTCAGCAGTCAGGACAATAACCACATACACCAGGGCTGGCGGGTTCAAACCTGGCCCAGGCCTGCTAAACAATAATGACATAACTACAAAAAAAAAAAAAAAGCCAGGCGTTGGGGTGGGCACCTATAGTCCCAGCTGCTTGAGAGGCTGAGGTTAAGAGAATCGCTTAAGCCCAGGAGTTTGATGCTGCTGTGAGCTGTGATGCCACAGCACCTTACCAAGGGTGACAAAGTGAGACTCTGTCTCAAAGACAAAAAAGTCAAATAGGGACCAGGTGGGGTGGGCTCACACCTGTAATCCTAGCACTTGGGAGGCAGAGATGGGTGGGTTGCCTGAGCTCACAGTTCAAGACCAACCTGAGCCAGAGCAAGACCTCGTCTTTAAAAAAATAGCTGGGCACTGTGGTGGACGCCTGTAGTCCCAGCTACTTGGAACCCTGAGGCAAGAGAATCGCTTGAGCCCAAGAGTCTGAGGTTGCTGTGAGCTATGACTTCACAGCACTCTGAGGGTGACAAAGTGAGACTCTGTCTCAGAAAAGAATGTTGCCAACAGGTAAAAGGAGATTAGTATGAGTAAGTGTTTAGTGGATTTGGCGCATTAAGATCACCGGTATCTTTGGCAACAGTTTAGGAGGAAGGAATAATGGGCATGTTGGGATGGGACTAAGAGGAAATAGAGGTGAGGAAATGAAGATTGAGTGTAGACAACTAGTTTTAGAAATTTTGTTGGAAAGAACAAAGAAATGAAGATAGGACAAATGGAAAAGTTTGTTTTTAAGATGATGATGATCCAACAGAAGTATGATGATACAGCAAGGAAAAATCCTTGAGACGGCTTGGGGGATGAGGTCCACAGTACAGGTTTGCTCTTTAATAGGGGTAAAGACACACCTTTCCTGGCAACAGGAAGGAAGGTGGAAAAGATGAGGCAAATGTAAAAAGGCTGTGGCTTTCCAGTTGGATGAGAATGTTTGTCTCTGATGATTTTTATTTTCTCAAAGAAATATGAGGTCACTATGGAGGGGGCATCAGAGGAGAAAGTGTAAGGGTTTGAAGAGAGAAAGCATGAAATAAACTATCTCTAGAAGTGAGAAAGTGAATGTTACTAGGGAAGTGCAGTAAGCCTACCAGGCAAAGTCTGATGTCTTTTTGAGGTCTGTGGTCAAGAATTTCAAGTGAGTGGGGTGGGGTGGCTCATGCCTGTTATCCTAGCACTCTGGCAGGCTGAGGCAGGTGGATTGCTTGAGTTCAGGAGATTGAGACCAGCCTGAGCAAGAGAAAAACTAGTTGGGACAGGTGGTACATGCTTGTAGTCCCAGCTATTCAGGGAGACTGAGGCAAGAGGATCACTTGGGCCCAGGAGTTTGATTTGAGGTTGCTGTGAGCTCTGACTGCAATAGCACTCTAGCCTAAAAAAGAAAAAAAAAAAAAAGCCATTAACTGATGTTGTAGGAGGAATGGGAATGATGAATCAAAATTTCTGTGGACTTTAAGGAAGCTAGACATTTTGAACTACGGATGCTGCCAATTGGTGCCATTTAGATATTTCAACATTATAATTCTTTTTAAGTACCTTAATCTGTTCATATATATTTTTATTATTTTTTTGAGACAGAGTCTCACTTTGTCACCCTCGGTAGGGTGCGG